TAAAGTCTCTGCTTTCATTTCTGATTTTATTTGAGTCCTCCGTTTTTCTTGGTGAGCCTAACTAAAGTTTTTTCAATTTTATCTTTTTAAAGAACCAGTTAGTTTCATCGATCTTTTCTATTGTGTTTTTCTTATCTATTTCATTTATTTCTGCTGTAATCTGTTGTTCCCTTCCTTCTCCTAACTTTGTTCTTTTTCTAGTTCTTTGAAGTATAAAGTTATATTATTTGAGACTTTTTAAAAAATGTTTTACTTTTTTTAGTAATCTCTACACCCAATGTGGGGCTTGAATTCACAACCCAGAGATCAAGAGTTGCATGTTCTTCCAACTGAGCCAGCCAGGTGCCCCTATTTGAGACTCTTTTTTACTCTTGAGTTAGGTATTGCTATGAACTTCCCTCTTTTTTTTTTTTTTTTTTTTAAAGATCTTATTAAGTTACCTCTACATCCAATGTGGGGCTTGAACTCACAACCCTGAGATCAAGAGTCTCAGGCTCCACCAACTGAGCCAGCCAGGCGCCCCTAAACTTCCCTCTTATACTGCTTTTGCTGGATCCCATAAATGTTGGTATGCTGTGTTTACATTTTTGTTTGTCTCAAGGTATATTTTGATTTCTCTTTTTGATTTCTTCTTTGACTTATTGTTCAGTAGCATGTTATTTAATTTCCACATATTTGTGAAATTCTCAGTTTTGTGTAATTAATTTCTAGTTTTATGCCATTGTGGTTGGAAAGGATGCTTGATATGATTTCAATCCTCTTGAATTATTAAGACTTGTTTTGTGGTTTAACATATAATTTTGGAAAATGTTTCATGTGCACTTGGGAAAAATGTGTATTCTGTTGTTTTTGGATAGAAATGTTCTGTAAATATCTGTTAAGTCCATCTGATTTAACACATCATTTAAAGCCAATGTTTCTTTACTGATTTTCTGTCTGCATAATCCATCCATTAATGTAAGTAGGGTATTAAAGTCCTCTCCATTATTTGTATTGCTGCCTATTTCTTCCTTTAGGTCTGTTAATATTTGCTTCATATCTTTAGGTGCTCCTGTGTTGGATGCACAAATACTACAAATGTCTTATCTTCTTGTTGGCTTGACCCCTTTATTATTATGTAGTACAGTTCTTTGTTATTACAATCTATGTTTTAAAGTCTATTTTGTCTGATATAAGAATAGCTACTCCAACTTTCTTTTGGTTTCCATTTGCATGGAATATCTTCTTCCATCCCTTCACTTTCAGTCTCTATGTGTCCTGACATCTAACCTGAGTCTCTTATAGGCATATAAATAGGTCTTGTTTTTTTATTCATTCAGTCACTCTTTCTTTTGGAGAATTTAGTCCACTTATATCTAAAGTAATTATAGGTATGTGTTTACTGCCATTTTGTTTTCTAGCTGCTTTTGTAATTCCTTTCCGTTCTTTTCTTCTTCTCTTGCTCTCTTCCTTTGACATTTGATGACTTGCTTCGCTGGTATGCTTATATTCTTTTCTCTTTATCTTTTGCATATTTACTACAAGTTTTTGCTTTGTAGTTACAATGAGGCTTACATATATCAACTTATAACATCTTAAGTTGATTCCATTGTAAAGCTCAACATTATTACTCCCCCACCAATGTTTTATGTTTTTGATGTCACATTTTATATCTTTTCATCTTATGTATCCCTCAACTAATTATTGTAATTATGGTTATTTTTACTACTTTTGTTTTCTACTCTTCATACTAGCTTTATAATCAATAATATACTACCTTTACTAAATATTTACTTTCCAGTGAGATTTCTTCTCTCAAGTGTGTTCTTGTTACCAATTAGCACCCTTTCTTTTCAGGTAAAAGAAGTCCCTTTAACATATCTTTAGGGCAAGTTTGGTGATGATGAACTTTAGCTTTTCCTTGTCTGGAAAATTCTTTATTTTTTTTCTTCCCTTCTGAATGATAATTTTTCCAAGTACAGAATTCTTGGTTTGAAGTTTTTTTCTTTCAGCACTTTGAATATATCATGCTATTCCCTCTGGCCTGCAAAACTGCTGCTGAAAGATCTGCTGATAATCATAAGGCGGCGGGGAGGGAGAATCCCTTGTATGTAACAAGATGTTTTTTGCTTGCTGCTTTTAATATTCTCTCCTTATCTTTCACTTTTGACATTTGCTTAATAATGTATCTTTGGTGTGGATCTCTTTAGGTTCCTCTTATTTGGAACTCTCTGGGCTTCCTGGACTTGGATGTCTGTTTCCTCACCCAGGCTGGGGAAGTTTTTAGCCATTATTTCTTCAAATAAGATTTCTGCCTCTTTCTCTCTTCTCCTTCTGGAATCCCTCGGATGCCAATGTTAGGCTATCTGATGTTGTCTTATAAATCCCTTAAACGATCTTCAATTTTTTCACTTTTTTTTCTTTTTGCTTTATCCCTTTCACTTTTTTCTTTTTGCTGCTGATTGGGTGAGTGCCACTGCCTTGTCTTTGAGTTGACTGATCATTTCTTCTGATTCATCTAGTCTGATGTTGAATATCACCAGTGTATTTTTCAGTTCGTTTATTGTATTCTTCAGCTTTGTGATTTCTACCTGGTACTTTCTTATATTTTCCATCTCCTGTTGGAAGGTCTCACTGTGTTCATCCGTTCTTCTCCCCAATTCAGTGATCATCTTTATAACCATTACCTTGAACTCCTTATCAGGTAAATTACTTATCTGTTCCACTAAGGTTTTTTCCCCGAGGTTTTATATTGTTCTTTCATTTGGAACATACTCCTCTGTTTCTGCATTTTGTGTGACTCTCCATGTTGTTTTCTATACAGTAAATGGAACAAGCAGCCTATTATATTTTTAATAGCTCCCAGTAGTTGAGGATGTCCCAAGACCTTTCAGTTCCCAAAGGGGAGGATCTCAGCACCTAGATTCAGAGTGACTGGAAGCCCAATCTTTAGGCATCGGCTTTCAAAAGTATGCAGATATAGGGATTCCTGGATGGCGCAGTTGGATGAGCCTCCAACTCCTGGTTTCAGCTTAGGTCGTGATCTCAAGATCATGGGATCGAGTCCTGTGTGGGGCTCCATGCTCAGAGGCAGAGTCTGCTTGGGATTCTCTCTCCTCTCCCTCTGCCCTTTCCCCCGCTCATGCTTTTCCTCTCAAATCTTAAAAAAAGAAAACAAAAAACCCCAAAAGTATGCAAATATATAGTCCTATAGGACTGCAATCATAAGCCCCACTGGCCACCAGGGCCAGGTGATCTGGAGGTATCCCCTGGATAGCAGTCACAAAAATTAGGGCTCCAAACAAATGGAAAAGCTCTTCCTATGAGCAAGCTAGAACAGGTAGAAGAAGAGCACCAAGATGGTGCTCACAGCCTACTGTCCTTGAAAGCAGCTCCAGAGGCCACTAAATGTGTCCCAAACCTGAAACTTGCCCCTCAGGCCACAGTCATGATGACTAGCTAACAGGCATCCTTCACAGAAAAATTGAGCTTGTGGGTCTGTTGCTACTTGCTGTGCCCTGTGGGTGGTAGTTGTTTAAGAACTCTTTCTCTGTTGCTTACAGTCCCATGGGACCCATGACCATAAGCCCCATTGGCCACCAGAGCCAGGTAATGCAGAGGTATCCCCTGGCAGCAGTCATAAGAATTGGGTACCAGACAGGGGTATGAGCTCCTTTCTGAGTAACATCAATTATTAAAGTCCAATGGGACCAAGAATACAAGCTCCCCTGGCCTCTAGGCCAGGTGATCAAGATAGATTTCCTAGGTGGCAGCTGCAAAAATTGGGGCACCAGATGTGTGTAAAGCTCCCCTCTGGGAGATAATGGTGCTCTGGAGCACAGCAGTGGGAGAGCATGAAGATTGTACCTGCCAGTCTCTGTCCTGGGAGAGTATTCTATCAGCAGGCTCCTAGATGTGTGTTAAACTATATGCCTTTAATATAAGCAGGTGAGCCTCCCTCACTTTAAGTTGGTGTGATCAGTTGCCTCTGAGCTGGGACCTGGGGCAAGTGAGTCCAAGCGCAAGCCCTTCAAGAGCAGTTTTTAAGACTGCTTCAGTCTTGTAGGTCTTGGGATGTGAGCCATGCTGTTTTTCAAAGTTAGACGGGGGAATCATCTCTCATTTATATCTTAAAGGTTGAGATGCCCACTGTGGGGTTCAAAGTCTTCACTCCTTAGGGAGAAGCTATGGGTTTTTCAGTTCCCTTCTGGTTGTGGGTCACCACACCAGGGATGGGGTTTATGGCAAGATTGTGTTACAGCCTCTTCTACCCTCTTAGATGTGGTTTTCTTCTTGTTTGTCCAATGTACAGCTGTCATTCAACCAGCCTTTAGGTTTTTTTTTTTAAGAGGAAGTTGTTCCATATATAGCTTTAGACTCAGTGTGTCTAGAGAAGTTGGAGATCTTCTGATGTGACCATCTTGAACCAGAACCTCAATAATTTTTTTTTAAAGATTGACTTTACTGTTTTTATTTATTTATATTTTCTTCAAGTAGGCTCTACACTCAATGGGGGGCTTGAACTCAGGACCTGATATCAAGAGTTCCATGCTCTACTGACTGAGCTAGCGAGGTGCCCCTCAATAATTTCTTAATATCATCAAATATCCAGTGAGTGTTCACATACTCTGTACTGTCTGACAAATATTCTTTTTCACTACGTTGTCAAATCAAGACCCAAATAAGATCCATCCACCACAGTAGGTTGTTATGTCTCTTAAATCTGTGTATTCTCCTTCTATTTTTATTTTTGATAGTTATGCATTTATTTTAATGTGTAGTTGGCACATACCATCTCCATGATTTCATTATCTATTAACTACTTCTTGAAATAGGGCTAAAGTAGATCTTTAAGCTTTAAAAAATGAGTTTAAGAAAAAATATTAAGCAAATAATAGTATTGGTAGATGTGAGAAATCATTAATGTGGTCATTAATGGAGACTATAAAACATCACTTAAAAATATTACCAATATTTTTAGAAGAAAAATTTTTAAATATATAAAATCTGAGTATACCTACTTTTACAAAGGTCAAGAAAGAGTTCCTCAATTCCTTTGTTCTGTTTGGCTGAAGTATGATAATGTTTTGCTCCCACAGATTCTGCATACCTTAAAAAAAAAAAGTAACATCAGTGATTGATAAAATATTTTATTTTTGTCGTAACTGCTATTTGAATTTTTTTAAGTAGCAATTTTAGTGACTTATTACTAATTAACCCACATTTAGTGAAATTAAGATACACTGAACCAAATTTTAAATAAGAACATAAGGATAACAGACTTGAAATTTTTAAGTTAATTTGGAACCCAAATACTTTAATAAAAGTTTTTGTGACTATTTGATTATGATAGGTTTTTTTTGGCATCACTCTTTACATTTTTTACTAAAATCAAAAAGAGAAGTGAGAATGGAATATTTTTAGATGTTGTCAAAAGTCCAGAATTTACCAGTGCTTCACTGAATCCAATAGCTCACTTTATATTAAGAGGTTTGAGTAATACCTAAATGGTAAAGCACACTGTGCAAAGAGAAAGACTTCTACTAGGGAGTGACTAGAGGGAGGGGGAAAGGGAAAACACTTACGATTCTGCTTCTTGAATGGAAACGTGTCTCTCCTTTTCCAGGTCTATTTTATTACCTAGTTTGAAAAAGCAAAAATGCCTATTCTTAATATTGATTCATTTTTATAACAAAACAAAGCCAATTCTAAATACACAGTTGCCATTTTAATTACCTGGAAAATAATACAAATCCCCATCAGACTTCTACATTTCCTTAAACCCTATGATAGGAGGGTTGATCATGACTGCAAGGTAAATGCCTCAATGTCCTTCAAATGGCCCAATGCATATCCCTCCTGAAGCTGCAGCCTCTGTCAGAGAAAATAACTTTTCCAAAGAGATGGGCACTTTTCCTTGATTTAGGATATAATGGAGACTAACAGTCACTTGGGAACCGAGGAATAAACTATGATTCTTAGCCAAATGTAAATGGTTCCCAATCAACATACAGCCAGTCAATAATTAAGCAAGGCTACCTTACTATTCATGAAATATATTAGGATAGACTCTTGGACCCTAAGGGTATTTTGGTTTCCTGATATGAACTGGTTAAACATAGCATTTAAACGTATGGCCTTTTAAGCACTTCACTACCACAGGAGAGGAAACTGTACTGTTTAACAACACGAGAGAACTTAATACATGCACATCATACAAATTTAAAATTACTGAAAATAAGTTTAGCTCTTCTTAAACAATGGGACAAAACTGAGATTATGCTAAAAAGCCACTAGAATAAAAGTGAAGAAACTGCAAAATGCAGATTCCTTAATAAATACAGTGTAGAGGTTAAGGTGAGTTGGCTGGACACACAGAACACTAAAGGTAATGGAAATAACAGAAAAAGGAGAAAATACCCTAAGAAAGGATATTTCTTTTTATTTTATTTATTTATTTGAGACAGAGAGAGCAAAAACAGGGGTAGCAGCAGGCAGAGGGAGAGGGAAAAGGAGAAGCAGCCTCCCCGCTGAGCAGGGAGCCCAATGCGGGGCTCGATCCCAGGACCCTGGGATCAGGACCTGAGCCGAAGGCAGACACTTAACAACTGAGCCACCCAGATGCCGCAGAAAGGATATTTCAAACAAATATTTTCATTTCTATTATGACTTATAAGGGGAGAAAAAGGAAACCTTTGTAAATAAGGTCATCTTTTCTTGGGACCTTAGAGAATCTAGAAGACAATTTCAGATAAGGACTAAAGTAAGCACCCACTGAAAGATCCAATGTTTATAACTGAGAAGTACAAGCCCAGAGATGCTGTATATGGAGGACCTAAAATAATCTGAGCACCCAATTGCGGGCAGCTGCAAGTAACTATCTGACACCATAGCCAAAGCATGAGAAGGAAACAGACTATATACTAAAGCTTAGTGATTACCAACAAATTCAGTAATGAACTGTTCCTTCTTTGAACAGTTATCTGTTTAACTCAGCAAGAAGAACATTTTAGTTCTGATTTCCTACATTATATTTGTCAATAAAATTTTAAATTTGCTAAATATTACAGCCAATACATCTGACAGTCACCTGAAGAAAAACAAGTTTTATGCTATGAAGAATGCAAAAAGCACCACCTAGTGGCCAGTGGTTCCAATAAACAGAGGCACAAGAATTCTGCCACTCAAGGCAAAACGGAAGACTTTTGTTCCAATTAACTAAAACCCTATGAGTTGTTTTTCTCAATCTCTAATTCCTCTGCTTTCAAATTCTACCAGAATTATCAACATCCATTTTTTAAAAAATGAAGATAAAGATAATTTGAGTAATGCCTCAAATGAATATCTGAGGAAAATTATTCGTTTATCATTAAAATAGAGCTTTTTTAGTAAGCTAATTACTATTTTAAACAAAAAAAATTTTTTTTTACCACTATTCCTTTCAACAATCAGTGTCCATAAAGGGATTAATAACACAGATTAAGTCATAAAAAAACTGCATTTTGGTGACTGACATCTTTCCAAACTCAAAACCTTGTTAGTGCCTACAGTTGTTAAAGGCAAGACATCTGAAGGATTAAGGCTTTGGGGCTCATCTATTTCAATGTTACTATGCAGCTATATAGGGAACTTTCTAATAGGCTTGAAACACCTGAAAACAAGGATTACCACCAACTAAAGTATAGTACTATAAAAATTAGGGGGAAAAAGTTGGCTGAAGCTATTGGAGAGGAAAGGGAAAAGCCACCCTGCTAAGAATAGTAAGAACTTTATCTTCTTTATAAATACAGATTTGAATTAAGAACATGAAAGGGCAGATGGCCTAATGGCAGTAAAGGGCTGGAACCTTATCTTGCTTAGACTGTATGGTGGTGTATGGGCCAGTCAAAAGAAGCCTTCAAAGGCTTTAAACCTGATAAAGCTTGTTTTCATGTCCTGGATCACTTCATAACTATGTAATTTTGGGGAAAATTACTAACCTCTCTTAGTATCACTCTGTACAAATGTAGCTAACAAACTTAGCATGGTTGATATGAAAATATGATAATATAAAAGACCTAGCATATAGTACATGCTCAATAAAGCAGTTATTAATATCAGCTTTATTCATCACAGTGAATGATCAAATGGAAAATCATATTATTATGAGAAAATTAAAGCCCATGATAGGCAACACATTTTTTACTACCACCCTGCTAGCTTCATCTAGCTAATTTAGTTACTCCAACACTTTAGGAAGTCTTCCTTTAACTTCCCTCCCCCCAAATATAGTTTGGTTTGCTTCAGTGCTATCACAGTACTCTGTACTTCCCCCTTCATAGCATTTATTGTAATATATAATAACAGCGTGTTCTTCTCCCTCTCGCTACACAATAAGCTCTGGGAAAATAAGGACCATATCTGTTTTGTTCACTTATTCTTATACTACACTATTCCCAAGGCTGGTACATAGTAAGCAATATATAATGTTGGTTAAGAATATGGGCTTGATCTAGCAGACAGACCTAAGTTAAAATCCTAGGTCTACCTTAACTAGCTATGTACTTTGGGAAGTATCAAGCTCTTAGCCCACTTCTCATGTGTGAAATGGAAATGGCAACAATACCTTCTTGTAGTGCTGTCAGAAGACTTAATGAAAGCATAAATGTATAGTTCTTAGGACAGTAACTAGGACTCAATAAATGGTAACTATTATTAAAAATAACTGTTTAACAAACATACAAATGTTAAGGACAGACTAGAAGCAAAATATTATCAAATAAAGCAACCACAGCTAAGAGTGCTAATCTGAGAGGGAAAAATCTCTGCTAGCAAAGTATGGAGTTCTCCATTACTGGTTAACACATTATAAGTGGTTTAGATAAGGACCTAGAAGATTAAGTATTTAATTGACATGAAAAAGCCAGGAGATGATACCATCAAATATAAAGATTCAGAAATATGATGAGTTGAAATTCCTACACTTAAGTTTAAATAACTTAATTATAAAAGAAAAAGATGGGAAAAGCTTGACAGAAAAGCAATACTTATAAAAAAGTGATTCAGATTTTTGTTAACTATAATCTATGTAAAAGAGACACTGTGACATGGATGCTAAAAAATGTATGCAATCTTGGGCAGTGTTGGCAGAATGATAATGGGAGAATTTTAAAGAGAGTCATTTAAGTATACATTGGCTCAACAATGTTTGGATTCTAGTGTTCATGTGTAGAAGACACATTTATACACTGAAATAAACCTAGGAAAAAATAATCAGGATGGTAAGAATGTCTACAAGTTAAACCAAATGAAAAACAATTGAAGACTACAGAATATAAGATTTCAGATGAACCATCCAAATGTTTGAAAGGGTGTCTTATTTAGAGGAAAAGGACCAAATATTTGTAAAATGCCATCTCTATGCCAAGCGTTTTCCAAATTATTATTTAATTTTCATTAAATTATATAGAATCCTGGGAAGCCAGGAGATGATACCATCAAACATAAAGATTCAGAAACATGATGAGTTAACACTGGGAAGCAGTGTTATTATTTTGAATTTAGTAATAGAAGAATGAATTTAGTAATAGAAGAATGAATAAACACTGACCTACTATAAAAAAAAAGAATGAAAATCAGCATGTGGAAAAAATAATGTAAATGCCTATCAATAACAAAAGGATAAACTGTGGAATATTTATAGAATAAAGTATTAGAGAGCAAAGAGAATAAAATGAACTACAACTATATACAAAAACACAGGAAAATCCTGCAAACATAATGTAAAGCCAAAAAAAAAAAAAAATAATACGAGTTCATACTATATAATTTCATTTATATAAAATTCAAAACAAAACTAGTTCATGCAGAGAAAGACATGTATCATATGATCTCACTGATATGAGGAATTCTTAATCTCAGGAAACAAACTGAGGGTTGCTGAAGTGGTGGGGGGTGGGAGGGATGGGATGGCTGGATGATAGACATTGGAGAGGGTATATGCTATGGTGAGCGCTGTGAATTGTGTAAGACTGTTGTTATCACAGACCTGTACCTCTGAAACAAATAATACATTATATGTTAAAAAAAAGAAGATAGTAGGAAGGGAGAAATGAAGGGGGGGAAATCGGTGGGGGAGACGAACCATGAGAGACTATGGGCTCTGAGAAAGAAACTGAGGGTTCTAGAGGGCAGGGGGGTGGGGGGATGGGTTAGCCTGGTGATGGGTATTAAAGAGGGCACATATTGAATGGAGCACTGGGTGTTAGACGCAAACAATGAATCATGGAACACTACATCAAAAACTAATGATGTAATGTATGGTGATTAACATAACATAAAAAAAAAACTAGTTCATGCAGTACAAAGACAAGACAGTATCTGGAGGTGGGCAATGGTGAGGGGAAGGCAGCTGGGGTAGTGTTGGGATGAAAAAGAAACACAGGTGAGACCTCTAAGTTACTTGTTTACACAGGTATGTTAAATTTGTGAAATTTTCCTTTTGTGGTAAATGGGCTCTCAAACTTCTTTCAACAATGAATTGCAACTAAAATTCCATGTCACACTTGCCAATAGAAAAGGAACGAGAAAAGGAACGAGAGCTTTTTTAGACTTTATACCAATCATTAATAAACATTATATAACATTAAATGAGGATTATCTGACCCTACTTGGGATAGTAAGCTACCAGCAATATTCCTAAAACTTCTTATAATATGAACATGAAGAATATACAGTTCAAATTAATTATTCTTTTTTTAAAGATTTTATTTATTTATTTGAGAGACTGAATGAGAGAGAGAAAAAGCACATGAGGGGGGAGGATCAGAGGGAGAAGCAGACTCCCTGCTGAGCAGGGAGCCCGATGCGGGACTCGATCCCGGGACTCCAGGATCACGACCTGAGCCGAAGGCAGTCGCTCAACCAACTGAGCCACCCAGGCACCCTCAAATTAATTATTCTTAAGCTTTATTTATCCAGTTGTTTTTTAAAAAATGTTACTTTGTAACCTGGGTCAAGTAACAAACTCTTGAGGCTTCTTTGACTTTAAGTATATTTAGTCATTTCTTTCCCTCTTCTGAGAGATAACCAGAATCCCAAATAATCAAATCTGTAGTCACCTATTGTGACTACTTCCATTCCCATTAAGTCCCAGATACCAGACAAAGCCAGGCTAAACTCACTAATGACTAGCTATAGCTTTGGCCCAAACTCCCATGTGGCCTACTATTCCCGTGTTCCATTCTGAAATACTCTTGCCATCTAGCCTAACATCTAGTATCTAGACTTAAAAAGTAGGTCAGATAATCTCCTTGGCGTCTTCCCTGAGACATGCGCCCTGATCTGGAACTATAGAGTTTGCCAATCTAATGGTGAGACAATATAAGAAATGTAAACTCTTAATTTAAAAAAAAAATTCTTAAAAGTCAAATGTGCCCACATTGACCATTCCATTCTAGGTCCTCCACTAAAACTACCCTGGTTTCTTCTAGGCCATTGCTATTCTACCAGTCATGCAGAAAGAAAGAAAACAGCATGAGGCTATTCATCATAAGGATTAATAACAAAGCATAGAAATCAGAATGACTTCAATTCATATCCCATCTCCAAAAGCTGCTTGATATTGCGCAAGTTATCAAGTATCTCCAGGGCTCAGCTTCCTCTATAAAGCCCTCCTGGGCGCCTGGGTGGCTCAGTCGTTAAGCGTCTGCCTTCGGCTCGGGTCATGATCCTGGGGTCCTGGGATCAAGTCCTGCGTTGGGCTCCCTGCTCTGCGGGAAGCCTGCTTCTCCCTCTCCCACTCCCCCTGCTTGTGTTCCTGCTCTCGCTATGTCTCTGTCAAATAAATAAATAAAATCTTTAAAAAAAAAAAAAGCCCTCCTAAAATTATGAGAATTACATGAAATAATGTCTACTAAGAACACAGCATAGGGGCGCCTGGGTGGCTCAGTCATTAGGCGTCTGTCTTTGGCTTGGGTCATGATCCCAGCGTCCTGGGATCAAGCCCCACATCGGGCTCCTTGCTCAGTGGGAAGCCTGCTTCTCCCTCTGCTTGTGTTCCTGCTCTCCCTGTCTCTCTCTTTGTCAAATAAATAAATAAAAAATCTTTAAAAAAAAAATCATAGAAATGATAAAGAAAAAGGGAACCAAAGAGAATTTCCAGAAGTCCAAGAGTGAGTTCTACAGTTCCTTTATTTTACCCATTAAGAATATTCCTCCACCCTAGTATCATGATTTGCTCATATCCTCGAGAGTCAAATTTGTCCTTAACTCAAAAACGTGTAGTTAAATGTATAAAACAAGAATACTAGCCTAAGTCGTTAGTTTTAATTTTATTTTAAAGTAGTTCCTAAATTCTTTTTTTCTAAAGAAAATCTTATGATGAAAAACTAAAGATCAAATTGAAGCAAGTCTGGGAGTTGAAAGTTTACATGGTTAGTTTCCCATTTGTTCCCCAAGGTCTTCCCTGAAGTCTGAATCTCCTGAAAGATCACTTCCAAATCATAAATTACTCTAAAATATTAAATATTAAAATATCATTCTTCTTCCTTTCTCATATTACTTTAAAAATGAGAATTACTTATTTGCTATTCTCTAATAACATTAAGGAAACAAAGCATTTTTTTTTTGAAACAGAGGACATTTTTTTTAAAAAGTAATGATACTTACCAACTATACATAAACAGATTTCATTTCCCAACATTTTCCGTAATTCTTTGACCCAGTTTTTTACCTGTGTATACAAAAGAGTAAATAGTAAATCCTGTTGCCACGACTATCATTACAACACCCCAAACTCCACATTGTCAAAATACCTCAGAATTTGTCTAACAGCCCATATATTTAGTTACTAGAAATGTTTAAGTGTAGGATCAGTTATTGACAAACTATATTGCAAACTACAACATACAAACATCCAATGGAATGATCTCTCTCTAGATCTACACAGAGGTATAAACAGAAATACCTGTAATTATAATTTTTCGTAAATCTTCCACAGATCCAAGCAAAACTATTCACTAGAGCAAAAGCATGTCAACTCCAGCCTCTGATAACAGATGCTTGTAGAGTCACTTTGGCCTTAAGAACATCTTAAAATTAAAAGTCTTTTGTATTCTAATTGGTTCTAAATTAGAGGGCATAGACGCTTCTGTGTCACACACTTAAAAGGGGGAAAACTGTATATGGGCACCAAAAAGAGTACCAAAATAAATTCGCATCCTTTAGTGTATGATAGGTTTTTTCAACTTCAGCACTACTGGTATTTTGGCTCAGATTAACTCTGTTGTGAGGGACTGCCCTATGCAATGTATGATACTGAGCAGCATCCCTGGCCCCCTACCCACTAGATATCAGTACCACCCTCCAGCTGTGATAACCAAAGATGTCTCCAAACATTGCTAGCTCCTGTGGAGAACCACTGGTATACAATGACTCCAGTAACAAACAGATTCTTCACTATGGATGAAGCACAGCAGTAGGCACAGTTAAGTACACTCAAGTTAAGTAAATTAATCTTTTGAACTCATGATTTTAAATATGCTGATTACAATAAAATAGGATAAAGAACAAACTTGAATACCTCCTTCATTTTTTGTAATGGAATTTAATTTCCATGTAATCAAATCACACAGAACTTATACATCTTCCTAAAAAAATGCACAAACATCTTTAAATTATAAAAGTTACAATAAATACGTGGTAAGTAAGCATTTACTGTGCATCTGATCCTACAATACAAATGTAACAGTCCCACACTCCTGTTTTCTGCAAGAATGCAGAGGAACTGTCTTTAATACACCCCAAACTTATAAAAGGAAAGGTACTCAATATCATCACCTTATCTTTCTCAGAGCACTGAACCATAGTTTTCTCAGTAGAGCCCCATTTTTTTTTATTCACATGTATGCAGAAAGTTTTTAGAGAAGTACTGAACTTCTATCCCTAGTTGATGTCACATAAGAAAAATGTGACAATTTGGTATGAAATGTACATCCTCATCATTTCAAAGGAAACATGCCAGAATCCAATTACATATTACTCTACTCCCTGTATAGGTAGTATCAAAACCTACTAAATCTAACCAACTTTTTTAAAAAATGTGTTATTCATCTGCAAATAGATCCCCTTCTGCAGGCATCCTACTCATTATCTCCATACATTCTGTGGTGAGTTAGAAATGGTTACATATTTTTTACCAATCCTCTCATCAAGAGGTAGAGTCTTGGAGGGGGGCGGAAGTCCCTGCTCAGCGGGGAGCCTGCTTCTCCCTCTCCCCCTGCTTGTGCTCTCTCTCGCTATCTCTCTCTCTCTCTCGCAAATAATTAAAATCTTAAAAAAAAAAAAAAAAAAAGAGGTAGAGTCTATTTCCCCTCCCTCTGAAGCTGGGCTAGCCTTGCTTTGACCAAGAGAATGTGGCAGAAGTAATGCTATGCCAGCTCCAGACTTAAGCCTTAAGAAGGCCTGGCTGCTACTCTTAGGATCCAGTTGTCAATGTACACAGCTTAGGCTAGGATATGGAATAATGAGGGAGCATGTGGGAGCATCCTCCAGAGGATGAGACACCAGATGGAGTGAGAGGCCGTAAGGAGAACAGGCCTTCCTAGATGGTCCTGGCCCCACCAAACTCAAAGTTCAATGCAGCTGCATGAGTGACTCCAATGACACCACAGGACCTGCCCAGTCAACCCACAAAATCATGAGAAATAATACAACACTGTTTTAAGCCACCAAGTTTTGGGGGTTTTGTTATGCAGCAAGAGATAAATGGTCACTTTTCAACCTAAAAGACTCAACCTTCTGTTAATAAAACACTCAAACCATTTCCATTTATGTCAAAAGGCAGGAAGAGACAACAAACAAGAGACCCCAAATAAATTTTTCAAGTATCACTAAACCTGCAAGTTATTTTATCATTCCCTTTTTCTACACCTTGGACTGAATTTTTCCACATGTAATAATCCAAGGACTAATGTGCATTGTTGCTTCATCAATTAAATACTGAAAAACAAATGGAAAAAAAAAAACAAAAAACCCACCTAAAACTAAAACTAAAAAGGCAAGCAATTTCAACAGGAACAAACCTGTAACTCAAGGCAAATAAACTTTCTGCCATGGAAACTACCCCTTTTAGTTACATACCCTTGACAAATTTATTCCAAGAGGGGCTTTCAGAGGAAGGGTGAAATAAGTAATTAATCACCATCCTGACTGTGATGAGAATTCAGAGATAAGTTTAATGGAAACTTATCTTCGGTTCCAAACAACTTTAAAAATTCTACATTTGTGGTTTATGTTTAAAAGAGGGGTGAAAGGCAACTGGGTGGCTCAGTCAAGCATCTGCCTTCAGCTCAGGTCATGATCCAGGGGTCCTGGGATGGAGCCCTGCTTCAGGCTCCATGCTCAGCAGCAAGTCTGCTTCTCCCTCTGCCCTCCCCTGCCCATGCTAATAATTATAAAATCTTAAAAAAAAAAAAAAAAGAGGGGTGAAAAATAATGAAGAAGGTTTAAAATAAACGCTAACATTTAAAATTTATATTATATCCTTCAGGACATTTAGTGAGAAGAAAGAGTTTAAGCTTTATTTAGGTCTTCCTTTTCCTCTTTACAATTAGGGAGCCCATGCAGCCATACCAAGTATTCACATGCTTAGTATATATGGAATCAAGAAATACATGTGATTAAAAAAAAAAAAAAATACATGTGATTTTTCTTTAATAGGGAGAAAAAAAAGCTCTTTGATTTTTATGAAGTTTTATTTCGAATTATTTCCCTTTCCTAATATCTGAGAGAGCCATGTAATAAACTTATTAATAACTGTTATTCAAAATGTAAACATGAATACTGCATTAACAAATGAGTGGTAACCATTTACGCACAAGTTTATTTTACTTTTATTTATTTATTTTTATTTTTTTAAAGATTTTATTTATTTATTTGACAGAGGTAGAGAGCGCAAGTAGGCAGAGCGGCAGGGAGAGGGAGAGGGAGAAGCAGGCTCTCCACTGAGCAGGGAGCCTGATGCGGGGCCTCGATCCCAGGACCCTGGGATCATGACCTGAGCCGAAGGCAGACGCTTACCAACTGAGCCACCCAGACGCCCCTATTTTACTTTTAAAACCAAGACTAATCACATTAGTAAATAAAGGCATGTGAATGGAGACTTGAAAAATCAGTGTTGTTACTCTGTTTAAGTCATCTACCCATAAGTAAATAGAATACCTTCTGAAAGGAATCTTCATCTGTTATATCATAAACTAAAATAGCTCCATTTGAATCTCTGTAGTAAATTGGACCCAATGCATGGAATCTCTCTTGACCTGCTGTATCCTAAATAAAGCAACAAACACTTATTAGATCAGAAGAAAAAAATACATCTGCTATTGCAACTACAGTAAACTTTTGATTAATTGGAAAGTGGGACATGAAGTTACGGATAACCTCAAAACACCACTAAAAAAAAAAAAAACAGGTTACAAAAAATTTTTAAAAGTTACAAACAATATTTAATGTTTTACTATTATACAAAAGTTACTTCTCCCCTCCCAACCCTCTTACTCCTCAGCAAACTTCCCACCCCCATTAAAAAAACAGTTCAGAATACCCAAGATGGCATTATAAGCCAGGAATAGGCCCTGCCCTAAATTTAGGTTCCACAGGGGGAAAGACAAGGAAAGACAGCATGCACCAGGACTACTGGTCAAAAGGTACTCCGATGCATTACCCTTGCCCTACTCTCTACTAGCCATTCCCTTGGAAAGTGGGAACATGGAAACACAGAGCGGGAAAAGGCCAATCAGGCTGTCCACCCACCCTGTTCTTTCTCGGACATGGAATCCCTCTGAGTTTACCCTTCCCCCAGCTCAAAGGTTATGATAAGCAATATTCATGTACACAACTGTAAAATTCTTAGCCTGATTTTAGAAAAAATGTTTATTAAAAAACAGCTTTGGCTAAACTTAAACTTACAAAAAAATCCAGAAATTCAAACTCCTATTCCCGAGCCAATTAGTTATTAGAGTACAAAGAATTGCAGAAGCCTTCACTCACTCAATTGAAAAGGTTAACTTACCCATATAGCAAGGTTTACTCTTTTCCCACCAATATTTAACTTCTTCGTTAAGAATGATGCCTAAGAAAAGAGATATACATTAAACAATATTTCATATAAAGTAATGTTTCTTATCCTAAGAACTACAGATGGAAGAATAATCTCAATATGAAACTCAAGTTATCTGGGAGAAAAAGTAATCACTGAGTTCTTTTTTTTTTTTTAATTCTTATGTTAATCCCCATACATTACATCATTAGTTTTAGATGAAGTGTTCCATGATTCATTGTTTGTGCATAACACCCAGTGCTCCATGCAGAATGTGCCCTCCTCAATACCCACCACCAGCCTAACCCATCCTCCCACCCCCCTCCCCTCTAGAACCCTGTTTGTTTTTCAGAGTCCATCGTCTCTCATGGTTCGTCTACCCCTCCGATTTCCCCCGCTTCATTCTTCCCCTCCCGCTACCTTCTTCTTCTTTTTTTTTTTTCTTAACATATATTGCATTATTTGTTTCAGAGGTACAGATCTGAGATTCAACAGTCTTGCACAATTCACAGGGCTTACCAGAGCACATACCCTCCCCAGTGTCTATCACCCAGTCACCCCATCCCTCCCACCCCACCCCCCACTCCAACAACACTCAGTTTGTTTCCTGCGATTAAGAATTCCTCATATCAGTGAGATCATATATGTCTTTCTCTGTTTGACTTATTTCACTCAACATAATACCCTCCAGTTCCATCCACGTCATTGCAAATGGCAAGATCTCATTCCTTTTGATGGCTGCATAATATTCCATTGTATATATATACCACATCTTCTTTATAATCACTGAGTTCTTATTAATGACCAAACATTATAATGTTTCTTATCCTAAGAACTACAGATGGAAGAATAATCTCAATATGAAACTCAAGTTATCTGAGAGAAAAAGTAATCACGGAGTTCTTATTAATGACCAAACATTATTTTCACTGAAGACAGAACATTATTTATATTCTAATCTAAAAAAATGGTATTTTGCTTTATGAACACAAGTTATGAAAAACAAAGAAAAGCGTGGCTCCTGGCTGGCTCAGTTGGTAGAGCATGCGACTTTTGATCTGAGGGCCATGAGTTTGAGCTCCATGTTGGGCAGGTGCCTACTTAAAATAAACAAACAAAAAGATTTAAAAAAAGAAAAAAAATGGTAATTAAGTATTTTCTTAGATTTTCCCCATAAAATTTTTCTTAGAGCATTTAATTTGATGTCACCCTACCCACCCATTATAGAAAAAGCTAAGAGATTTCTAAATGAGATAAAAGATTTACTGGTAGTTTACTTAACTGTATGAATACCAATATTATTTGAAATATTGCTGCAATTATTTTATAATTCAATTATTTAACTTATATCTAGTAATTACCCCAGGTACTAATGTTACAGAAATGAAAGGAAATGTTCCAGCCTTCAAGTAGTTTTTAGTCTACAGCAGAAATAAACATGTAAAGAAAAATACAGTATCATGTGACAACTGTTAAAACGGGAGGGTCTTGCCAAGTAGACTCTAAAGACAGTGCTGAGAAATGAAGTGAAAAGCCTTCCTGGATGAGTCAAAGAAGGCTTCAGAAAGAAGGTGATGATCTCCCCCCTTCAGGAATAATAGGGGCTTTTCCAACAGATGGGTAAAGCCACTGAAGCCTGATACACATAACTCCCTCTCCATGGAGAACTCCAACAAGCTAGTGTGGTCAATGCCAGAGATGAGACTACAAAGATAGGCAAAGGCTGAATAAATCAAAAAAAGTACTAGGGTTCCCTGTCTAGATGTATGGACTTTACTTTGTGGGTCTTAATAAAACCTGTTCCAGGACACAGGAATGTATAAATGTATACTAAAGTTAGATGTATTTGAGAAATGCAGCATATTGCTTTGTATTCCCTTTGTACATTCCTAACACACATTAGCACACTAAGATTCTGCCAAAAGAAAAGCTAACTGCATCTATACAACCATTTCCCAAACATATTTTGACCTCTTTCGCCCTAGAGAAATGCCTAATTCATCCTAGGGAATAAATGTTAAGAAAAAAAAATACTGTTGATGAGGAGAATCACTGAAGGATTTTAAAGCAGTGGGTAAGTATAAGATACATATTTTAAGAGAATGACTCTGGGATAGGAAGGGAGGTTAGACTGAAAAGGACAGGACTAGACCTGCAGACAGAAGGCTATTACAAAGTTGGAGAGAAAAACAAAAAGGGCCTGAACCAAGTCCACAAAGACGGAAAAGAGAAAAGAAAATCCAGAGTATTTGAAGAGGAAATATCAGAATACAGTCAGTTGACATATTTAAAAAAGGAACAGAGAGCCAAGTCCAAAGCTATGCAGGGACAGTCACAGTTAGGTGTCTCTACATAAAAGAAAGTACAGAGAAGTAAGGTAAAACATATAAAAAGCTAGGATGGTGAATTATTACTGATGGAGAAGGAGCCTAGACTTCAGGAAGGACTTTCTGCTGAATGCACACCAAGGAAATTTAGAATTAAGAAAAAGCCAATGAATTTAGTAATTAACTAAGGAATCCACAGATAGACACAAATGGCAGAGCTAAGATCAAATCCAGGAATGCCTTCCTTCAAAACCCAAACTACACTAAAGATATTTTAGGTATGTTATTAAATGAAACAAAGATTACATAGAAAAGGGTATAAAATAAATGGCAAAATAACAAAAGAAATCTTGGAAATGAGAAGACCAAATACATGTTTTGACAATAAATGTGAACAAAGGACTTCTCCCACTCATTATAGCACAGGAACTAAGAATATGAACTTTGATGGGTACCTGGGTGGCTCAGTCTGTTGGGCATCTGACTCTTGATTTCAGCTTAGGTCATGATCTCAGGGTTGTGAGGAGGCTTTGGGCTCCACGCTGTGTGGAGCCTGCTTAAGATTCTCTCTCCCTTTCCCTCTCCCCGTCCCACTCTTGCACACTCTCTCTCTCAAAAAAATTAAAATTAAAATAAAAAAATATATATATGTATCAACTTTGATTCAGAACTTTGGATTTGAATCTCAGCTTTGCCCCTTATTAGTTGTATAATCTACTTGAACTCAACCATATCCATGGTTTCAATATGAATGCTATACAAAGAAACTAAAAATCTGAATCCTATCCAAATATTTAATAGGTAGGTCAACTTAAATGCCTCTCCTCTCTCAAATATATTTAAAATTAAACTGATCCCTTGGTTAAGCGACTACCTTCGGCTCAGGTCATGATCCTGGAGTCCCGGGATCGAGTCCCGCATCGGGCTCCCTGCTCGGCAGGGAGTCTGCTTCTCCCTCTGACCCTCCCCCCTCTCATGTGCTCTCTCTCATTCTCTCTCAAATAAATAAATAAAATCTTTAAAAAAAAAAAATTAAACTGATCTTCCTTCCAAAACTGGCCTTCCATTCCAACTTTAATATTTTGATCACATTCTCCAAGTCACTGAGGTTTAGAATCTTAGAAATATCGTCATTGAATATTCTTCCTCCCCTGACATTCCATATTCCCAAAAAATCCTACCAAGACTTGTCTTCACATTTCTTCTGGAATTCTCTGATGACCAATCTCATATTATTATAATACCTTTGGTCTCACTTCACACTCTAGTTGACATGCCGAATTATCTTCCTAAAGCCTCCATGATTAAAAAAAAAAAAACTTACCATAACTCATTGAAGGATTCTAATAAGGTATCATTTTTAATAAGTTTGCTTGAACTACATCCCTGCTGGTAGCTAGATAACCTTTTTGTCATGAGATTTGTGGGGATTTCTCAGTAGAGAGGAATGAATTAGAGCTGATAAAGCTCCATCATTTCCTTTTCCTCCATCATCTCCTTGGAAACTTACCACCACTTTCCCATGGTGAGTTTAAGGGACAGTGTTAAGTGTCCTACAGAATCATGGATATACAATTTTATGGAAAGATGCTCATCAGTGTCAATTATAAAAGAAAAAAGAAATAACCTAAGTGTCCCTCAATAGGCAATTTTTAAAAGGTACACAAATATAGCCCATCCATACAGTGAAACTCTATACTTTCATTTCTACTACTATTGCTATAGTCGCTAACAGTTACTGAATGCTTACCTTCCATTAAGTACCGTGCTGAGCACTTTTTATAATATCATTCACAAGCTTCTCCTTTATAAAAGTTAGGGAACCCTAATCTACAAGCAAAAATCTCTAAGTGTTATCTCTGTATGCAAGGACCTAAACAATTGTCCACATCTATCCTCCTAAAATAGCTTCCAGTATTTCTCCACTTACTCTCCAACTTGTATGGTTTATATACATACCTCCAATTCTGCTTGTTCTTAAAATTCCCCTCTAATTTGGATGTATTCTTTTCTGTTTGAATCCCATCTATCCAAGTTCAGTTCATGACCCATACTCTTCTTCCTTGAATTTTTTAGCTTTCTCATATCACCCATACAACCCACACTGACTTTCTCTATCCTAAAGAATTACAGGGAACCTAATATTTAATATACAGCATATACTTCCTTGCTTATATCCTAAGTTATCTTTTCGTTGAGTGTAAGTCTTCTGTCAACTTGATTACCTATTTTTATTTAATATGTTCATGATGCTTACAATGAAATGGGCAGTATTCTAAAAGCTTTTCAATATTAACTCATTTAATTGTCATAGTACTCGGAGTAAGATATATTTATCCAAATATTACAGATGTGGAAACTTAGACACAGGAAGGGTATCTTGCCCAGGGTCACACAGTAAATGACATAGTGGGATTTGAAATCCAAGCAGTCTGGCTCCAGACACGACTCATAACCACTATGCTGTGATATCTCCCACATTGAGATCTGAAATAATTCTTCTCTTGTGGAGAAAGCAGGAGTGCTGACACAGAAATATTGTTATTGTAGATAAACGTATCTACAATAACAGGTAAATTGGTGCAGGTAAAACTCAATTTATGTAAGAGATGTGCTCCTAAAAGTTTCCTTATAAACCAAATTATTTTAACTCAAATATCTGATATATTATCCAAGGATCCCACGGAATCTTTTTTTTTCTCCTTC